TCTATCTATCTATCTATCTATCTATCTATCTATCTATCTATCTATCTTGTACATTTATATTTTGTGTGGAATTTTTTATATATGTATGTATAGACATGTATATGCTTTTGTTTTATTTCTGGAGTTAGTAACAAAAATAATTTCCCTCTGGAATTATTAAAGTATTTCTGATTCTGACTGGGAGTTGGAGGTAAAACAGCCTTTTTAAAAATGCTATTTCCCACCACGGTAGCTCTGCTAGTCGGAGGCTAACGTGCACGCGGGCGTCTGGTACCTGGTTGTCGTGGCTGGGCAGGGCGCAGTAGCCCGGCTCCGTCCGGCGGAGGAGGCGTGGGGAGTGAGTGCGGAAGGGCCGGGGCGAGTGGGAGCAGACGGAGCGGGGCGAGGGCGACTGGACGGAGCGCGGCGAGGGGGAGCGGGCCGAGCGGGCCGGGGAGTAGCTGGCCGCCTGCGGGGGCATGTGGCCGTGGTGGTTGAGCTTCGGGGGCCGGGGGGAGCGGGGGGGCAGGTCGGGCGGCTTGAACGGGTCCATCAGGTCGATCTCGGTCAGGATGGGCGGCGGCGGGATGAAGTCCAGCTCCTCCTCCTCCGGATGGAGCATCCGCACCTCCTCCGCGTCCAGCAAGGCCAGCTCCGCCTTCGACAGGTGGTCCACGATCCCCGCGCCGAACGAGTCCCCCACCACGTTGATGGAGGTGCGCATCCGGTCACTGAGTGGACAAACGGAGGGAAATCAAGATGGGGAAAACACCTTTACGTCATAAGACGGATACCATAGTCCTGCAGAGTCAGCATCACGCAGCGTACCAGATAGTAGCAGGGTGTCAGTTCAAAGGGATCAATCAATAAATATTCTTTTTTCGCCAGTTTATTACCGCCAGACAACTTCATTCGTTTGTGAGGAGACTGCTGCAGAGCTTGTAATCATAGTCTTATCAATAATGTTTATATATTTTAGTGTGTCGTGTTTTGAGCTAGCGGTAATTTTGACGGTATTCAGCCGGGAGGTCCTCCCCGCTGGGACTCACAGCAGCCAGTCCACGGCGATCAGCAGGCTGATGTCCTGCGTGGGCAGGCCCACGGCCGTCAGGATCAGCAGCATGGTCACCAGTCCGGCGCTGGGAATACTGGCCGCTCCCACGCTGGCCAGGGTGGCGGTCATACTACGGAGGAGAAGTCACAGACGTTGGGTTGCTTAACTTCATTGACTGCCAGAGTTTTTGGAGCATTTTGACAGATTTTTCAAGAGCCACAGAATAGTTTGTGCTATGATTATGTAAACACCGAACACACCAAAAGAAAGAGTAGACTCTCTTCTTTCATCAGGAAAATTTTTTTGTTTCTACCTTATTCCGTTCTTCCTGGACTTGCGTCTCACCGGCGACATGTTCTCTCATAGCGAACCGTTACCTTTTTCTTATTTGCCTACAGTCTATGCTCATCTCCCATCAAAAGTGGCACTGCCACCTAGAGGGTCAATTTGTTACTACATACTCTGTCTAGAAGCCTGATATTTACGGACAAGCTTTAGCAGATCGTCCCCCAGCCACTCTCGTTGAAAAACATAAAAGACGTCTATAGACGTCTTTGGCAGCCAATGAGTTAAAAACCGGCAGTGGGGGCTGTTTTGTCTCCTAACGGGACTCCTGTGTTCAATTACAGGCTGGTTTTGAAAGAATACAACTTCAAGCCACAATTCGATTAAAAAAAACCCCCAAATACATAAGAGTTAATCTCCCCAAATTGCATAAAGACGTACAGAAAGAGCTGAAGAATGCAAAAAAGTCAGCATATTAAAACCCTATTCAGGGATTCCAAGTAGCAATAACAGCAGCTCAGGCAGAGTTAACCCACATTTAATATAATTTAATGGAAATCAACCATTCAAAATGCAGGGCAGCCAATCAGAGAACTTGTGAGAGCCTTAGCTGCCGATTCAGCAAAGTTCCTCATTGGAATAGGTGCCAAACAGCCCCGTTAGAAGACTCGTAAAAGGTACCGAATACCACAGGAGAGTTGCTATTAAGTTACAGTCATTTAAATACCTCCACTTTAAAAGCTCTAATTCCACTGCTCTTGACAGATTTAGATCCAATTTAAAGGTGATTTGTCTCTTTTTTGTACTTCAGAGCTTATATAAGGATTTCTGATGTGTTTTCTGACGTCTTTTGCTAGGATTTTTCTAGGGGAAAAAAGCTAATAAACCCCACTCAGGTTCCCAACTGGGAACTCCGAGGAATTGTTGGGGTTCTCTGTTTAGTTGTTAGCTTCATTAAGCTAATTTTTCCCCATCACAAAGCTGAACGCTGATAGTGGTACTCACAGTGTGCATGTGTCTCCACAATGCGGCTTACTGAAGCCGACAGACCAATTTGTTATGGTTGTGCTTTCTTTGATTTTCACAGCTGGAAGTTTATCATTTCATAAAGACTTTTGTGAGCGAGGGAAATGCTGGAGCGCTTAACATGAGCCACTAACAATCCACAACAGTGAAGACGGGTTTCTGGAACAGACTCGAACTGGAGAACGACTCCAGCTCTTTAACACAAGGCTGAAAACAGCTGGATTGGGACCAGATTTGTGTAGAAATGTCCACATCTGTGGATAAAACTTCCACTAGGGCAGTTAGTTTAGAATAAAATAGTTAGAAACAGATCCCACAGTGGGGAAATTCACTTGTTAGAGCAGCATGGTTAGAAAATACACACAGGTGACTATGAAAAATATTCAAAATAGACTGAAATAAATACCAATTTAAGTATAAAAATAAAATATATGTTAGAAACTGTATCAATTTGTGGGAAAAGGAAGAACACGTCTCCTTTACATCTCAGTTAAAGCTCAAACAGAGCTCTAATAATCGGGTATCTGCGTGTAGTCATGTCCTTCCTTTAGAGCAAAACACAGGCTGCAGCTCCTCTGTACACAACAAAACATGTAGAAATGCAGCTTGTCACGACATGTGCGCAATTAGAGAAATGGCCGCTTGGTTTGTGTGTAACAGATTAGACTGCGGGGCAGTCTGGATGCTGTCCTGGACCACAGCATCTTCACCAGGATGCCTGGATCTGACCTCAGAGCGCCGCATCACAGATTTACACGCCAGCAGAAGACACATTAGTCCCACGGCACGTTTAGAAAATTCGATTTTTGGAATTTGGTGGTCTACCTCCTCTGATGAAGGACAATAAATAAATTGAAAGAGCTGAAACATGCTTTCTAACCCCTAGCTATTACAATGTGAGTCTGATCCAAGGAAACTGGTTCCAATTACATTTAAATGTTTATTCGAAACCGCAGACATGGGAAGCATATTTAATCAGCTCTTTGCTCTTTTCCTTAGAATTGCCTTAAAGCTACCACATTCTTGCAAGTCTTTTGAAAAAGCTTTGCCCTTTTTACCCTGTTGTGTGCATTAAGATGTCATTTATACAGTTATACAGATGTTATTTGAAATACTTGTACACAGAGATCTTGGGATGGCCGCTTATCTGATTTTAAAAAAAGAGGCTCTTCAGTGTTGTTTGGGAGAAGAAAACTGACGTGATCGGGATAAGGGGGGACGCTGTTTGCTGCAGTGATGATAAGGACAGTGAGTAAAATGTATGCAATTTGTATAATTTACAGTCTTGTGTGTTGTTGTTGTTAGTCTGCGAGTCATGCTAGCTCCAGCTGTTTGTGTTTACAGGCCTACCCACACGGTTTCCTGTTCCCTCCGGCTCTGGGTCGCAACATGCAACAATATTTCTTCAGGCAGATTTAGTTTTGAATGACTCTCAGGACCCCTTTATTTAACTGAGTCATGGCGTAAACAATCCGGGTTATATACAAAGATCATTCTCAAATTTTGTCATCTTTTTTTTTCATCTTTCAATATCGTTGGCCTGCTAATAGAAGAGGAGTTATACGTCCCAATAAAAACTCACGTGTATTCATAAAATTGCACGCTGTGTTTTTGTGTTCCTAAGAAAGAAACCAAAAGGACAAACTTCCCTTTTACCTGATCCAGCCCACATAAATCTGCCTGCCATCAGCCGAAAAGGAACCAGTTTACAGAACTCTGCTAGCAAAACTCTTTGCTCGGTTTAACGTTTCTTTATTGCTTCAAACCAGCTGTGAGTGTTTGAAATAGACCGTCATTGATAATTAGGGGAGGAAATGATGATCACATGCGAGAGGGAGGCTAAGAATAGCAATGGATTCGCTTTCCATGGATACGAACAGTAAAAGTTGAGCCAGCTTCTGCAGGAGAGCGAGGATCTCCAGACTAAGCTAGTCCAGGTGGCTCCACAGGGCCTTCAGGCTGTTCACATGTTCCTTAAACTTTTAGTGGAGGAGGGCAGTTAACAGTCCCGTTAATCAATTTGGGTGGCCAAGATGATGATAAGTCATAAAACAGATGAGAAATAAATGTAAATGTTGTAGTACATTTTTATGTATATTGCTAGCGTTGCTATTTAGTTGAACTTGAACAAATGTGCTATTCAGGATGCATAGAACAAATGTGCTGAGGAAATTAAAAGCAGAAATCCTAAAAACAGAGCATTAATGTCTTAATTCATTTGATGCGTCTTCTTAACACATTTGGAATCACTTATATTTCATCTGTGAAAACCATATCCTTTGAAATTTGGAGCAAATTCTGATCATAATTGTTCCCAAAACCTTTATAACTTCAGGGCAAGATGCTCAATTGTTTGTGAAGCTCTGGTTTGTTTATTCTGTTCGTTGGGAGCAGCTGAGTTATGGAGAACCTAACCTCCACGATCCAGGCCGACCGAGGCTAAACACTCGTATGCTTCTCACTCAGCCAGCCTTAATGCTGCATCACCCGGGAATAAACTGAGTTTCCTTCAGCTGAAACCTAAAATGGCCACACACTGAGCAAAGTATCGAGATCAGGCCCCAGTTGTGTTTCTCTGAGGCTTTCTCCACCGGCTGATCGGCTGAGGAGTTACGCTGTGGCTCCGGGCTGCTCACATTTCCACATTTTTTATAGCGCCTGAGGGACGCGCTGCGGCCCTAACTCTCTCCTCGCCACAGCTGGCCAAACATGGTGTTAAGTGGGTGTAAAAGTTGGACTGCTGGTTTTTCTGAATGCTTCGGAAAACCGAAACGGGCCGAACGAGTCCGTTCTGGGTAAAAGCTGCGGAGGGACGGAGGAGAGCGCCCACCTGACCGTGATGATCTGCCCGCCGTCCAGGCTGATGTCGTTCATCTGGGCGATGAAGATGGCGGCCACCGCCTCGTACAGCGCCGTGCCGTCCATGTTGATGGTGGCGCCGATGGGCAGCACGAAGCGGGTCACCCGCTTATCGATCTTCAGGTTCTCCTCCAGGCAGCGGAAGGTCACCGGCAGCGTCCCTGCACTGGGGGGGGGGGGGGGGGGGGGGGAGGGAACGCAAGGGGCCAGGCAGGGGAAAAAAGACGCAGATGTCCGGAAGAAAAAAAAAAAGGGGAGTAAAAGGGTCTGTTTCAGGACATAAAATAGGCGAGCAGTTGGCGAGAGCCGTAAGCGTGGAGGTCTGGAGGAAGGTGAAGGGGTAAAGGAGGCACAGAGGCCAATAGGAGGCAGCGGAAATTTGAGTGGGCTCCCGGCCCCCCTCCCAACAGCTGCCGCTCAGCCGCCGTTTCAACGCTCCAATGTGGGAATTAAAGGAATCCGATTCCCCTG